TAAGTCTTAAGCTAGCAGACCATTGGTATATCTTCGGTTCCCGATAACATATCAGAGTTCTGCAAAAGGCATATTTAGTTGCTTATTAGTTGCTCATTAGTTACACTATTCCCGATTTCGTAGCTCATTACATATAAAAGATACGTGTGTGTGTGAAAATTTTTTTTTTATAAAGCTCTTCATTTTACCATTCTTCTTCTAAATATGAGCCCTTAATGTCTATTATTAGTAGGAAATGTACTTTTAGTTACAAAATATTTGCAACTTTAACCCTTTCATGTGTATATTTTAAAGATCTCATGTTCAAAATCAAATCTTTAACATCTTATACGTATATTTATGCAGATTTTGGTTGACACTTTTCAGTAATTGTTTTACATGCACTTTTTAGAGTGCACAGGTACAAATATAACATATTAATTACTATTTATTTTACTTACTTTGCAAAATACTTATGCACAAAAAAATTAAATTAAAAATTGAAATTATAAATGTTTGATTTTATGAAAAATAAAAATATATATACATGTATTTCAAGTCCTTAGCATGGGTTAAATTATGTCTTTTTCTTGAAAATGTTTGGTTTTCTGACGAATTATGAGATGGGTACGTAAAAAAGAAAATTGGATACATTTGGATACAATTGTGGCTTGGTCAGTGATACATTTTCTTGAGACGGCGCGGCAACACTTGTCGTCGTTTGCTTTGGTTGTGCGCGTTCTCATATACGACAGTGTGTTTTAATTTTTACAACGAAAATTCGCGGCGAAAAATTCGCCGTTCGCCGGCATTGTGTTTTAGCGGCAGTGTTGCCAGAACTTTTCAGGGCAACCGGCTAGATTGGACAAAAAAATGGCTAAAAACGGCTAAAATGTTTCAACCAGATATACATTTTTTTTTTAAATACATAAACTACAATTAGAAAGACTAGTAAATCCATTGATTTTTTTTTGGTTAATAAAGATTATTTATATGTAGCTAAGCTGTACACCACTTTAGTTTTGTTTAACAAAAGAAACTGTCGTTATACGTAGCTAAGCTTTACATCAGAAGTCATGTTTGTATTACTTAAATATAAAAACAGGGATAAATTACAAACCTATGGCGTTTTCTTTTCTATTAAACAATTTTGCCTTCTTATAAATATTGGATCATTTTCAGTAGGTTGCTTTTAGTCCCGCGAAATGGCTATATTAGCTGAGAGTATGGCACTTTTGCTTAGTCGGAGGGCAATATTTTGAGAAATGAACACGTAAAGCTGTGAAAGCAGAAGGTAGTTTAATTTATTGACATTCGTTGTTGTTGCCGACCACTTCACTTTTAACAAGTTTATGACATTTAACTAAAATCATGCCACCAGATTCACTAGCAGAAAAATTTTTGTTTCTTAAAAAAGTTGAAAAAAAATTTGAAGTTAGTGAAGTTCGATGAAAATATTAAGTGTTGCACGTTTCCAAACTGCCAGTATTCGGGACACCTGAGCAAACGTTCGAATATAAAGTTTTTTGCTTTTCCGAGGTAGGGTACGTACATAGGTTGATAACAAATTGCTGACACATAATATCTTTAAACCTCTGAAAGATGTACCATTATCCGTGGGACAGGACAGAGGTCGAGTTAAAATGATGCCTGCAACTTGTAACAGTACCAATTTTTGGATTCTCGGAATTTTCTGATAAAGATGTGGTGCTGCTAAAAATATAAATACAAAAATATAAGCACGAAACTATGTATTTGTCACAAGAATTATCCACATAAGATGAAAACTACTGCAATTTTATTTTATAAAATTTAAAAAGTATGTTTGCACCATGTAGCGGAATAGCTGCGCTTGATTGTAGTTGGCTTAGCAAAGTGAAATAGAGGAAAATAAGCAACAAGAATTAACAAGACAAACTTAGCACAGTGCGT